GTGTGCTGGGTGTCCGCCGCCCCCGGAAGCACGCTCAGCGTCCTGCAGCCGGACACGTTCTCGTCAGCTTCTGGACACGTCCCGACGCCCATCCCGGCCTCCACCATATCTCCCGGGAGCAGCGGTCAGGGGTCATGGGCTGAGTTCGGGTCCTGCCCCCGGAGAGCCAGGGCCCTGAGCGGGCATCCCGACTCTGTACCTCGGTCTTGCCAGCACAAAGGGGACCCTGCAGAGAGAGCCCACATGGCCCCTCCTGTCAGCGAGCTCCTTCAGGAGACCTGCCCCTGGGCGAAGCCACGTGCCCGGCATGCCAGCGGGCCAGCCCGAGACCGCCTGAGCACGGACAGCGCGGGCCCTGGGCTCCCGGGTGGAACGGGGGCGAGACCCCCCGCGGGGACGCCACAATGGATGCATGTGTTACCAGCCTACAGTGAATCTGATTCCAAACGAGGACACACACTGAGACGCTCAGAAAACATCAAATCAGTCGGGGGCGATAGACTTCTGGAAGCCACCACTTAACACGACACAAGGGCCGTGGACATGGTGAAAATCACCAGTATTGCAGCCTAAACCCTAAAAGAAATGATGTCTGCAGCGCACTGCTGTGTACACAGAGCGGCCTCAGGCCCCGACCCAGCTCGGCTCTGCGCAAGGACAGCTCACTGAGTCCGCCTGGCCTCCTAGGGGAGCTCTTCAAGGGCTCAAATCAAAGAAGCAGTTTCCTATATAGGAATTTAGTGCCACAAGTGGGAAATTGATGTCACAAGAGTCACATTACGGGCACTGGCTGGATCAGACCGTAGAGTGTGCAGCTCTCAATCTCACAGTTGTGGGTTCAAGCCCATGTTGGATATGGAGATACTTAAAAACAAAATCTTTAAAACAAAGTCACCTTAAAATGCCTCTGCTTTTCTACTCTCCTCACGTAAGTACGCCTCTTTCTTTTTTTTAATGTTTTATTTATTTCTGAGAGAGAGAGAGCTTGAACAGGGGAGAGTCAGAGAGAGAGGGAGACAGAACTGAAGCAGCTCCAGGCTCTGAGCCGTCAGCACAGAGCCCGACGCGGGGCTCGAGCCCATGAACCGTGAGACCGTGACCTGAGCCGAAAGTTGGACGCTTAACCGACGGAGCCCCCCAGGCGCCCCACGTGTGCCTCTCTAAAGGCAAATTCAGAGTTGATTCTGGGTACAGATGGCCAAAGACATGAACGCCCTGTGAGCTGAAACTTCCCACGAGTGTGTCCTAGAAGAGAAGGAAGTCAACGCACAGAGGCAGCCCCAACACTGGCAATGCACACCGCCCAGACGCACAGCTGCCAGGCCCTCAGAGGGACCCGAGGGGGGCAGCGCCCACTGAAAGCTGTTATCCTTCATGTTGATATGGAAGCCTCCAGAAACTGCCCTCTGAGGTCTGCCATCTAGAAATAACCAACCATAAGTTCCTGTCTTGTAAGCCAGATCTTCAGATGTCCATCCCTTTCCTGCCTCTACACCCGCCCCCCAGCCTCCCTGCCTCTGCGCACCGCCCCCCCAGCCTCCCTGCCTCTGCACACCGCCCCCCCAGCCTCCCTGCCTCTGCACACCGCCCCCCAGCCTCCCTGCCTCTGCGCACCTGCCCCCCTCAGCCTCCCTGCCTCTGCACACCGCCCCCCCACCCCAGCCTCCCTGCCTCTGCATACACACCAGCTGCCTCGGCAATCGACTCAAGGCTGACCTGGAAGCTGATTGTTATCACCGGCATCATTGCTACGAATGCCCTCTCCTTTCTGAAGAGGCTCACAGACTGACTCTCAGACCCAAGCTCTGAGGACAAAAGTGTCACTCATTTAAACTCTAAAACACATCCAAACTATAAAACTATAAAGTTTTATGAAACACTGCGGTTAGTTTCAAGTGCAGCAAGAATGATACTATCCATTCTTGATAGGCTGCTGTGGGCCTATCAGGACGCTTTGCAGAGGGATTGCCAAAAATACTATACCAACAAAGATGACCCCAAAAGGGAGAAACCTCCCCCAGCACCCAGAGTCCTTGGGAAAGGCTAGCGCTGCACACTTTTCATTCAAAGGCTCCTTTTGCGAATTAAAAACGTGACGAGTTCTCCATCCCAGACCCCGGAGACCATTACAAACCCGGCCCTGGGGTTACACGGCAGAGACCCTGCTGATGTCCTAGACGCTGGCCGGAGGGGACAGGAAGTTTGGGGGGCCCACCCTCCCGTGGGTGCGACGGCCCGTCCCCGTGGCCCAGCTGCCCCGGGGCACCCAACGACAGGACGGCATGGGAATAGGAACGAGAGGCCAGGAAACATATTTCGATGTGAAACCAAAACTGGGGGAAAGGTTAGCTTCCGACCTTGCCCCACGTGCCATGTTTGCTCACCGAGCTCACGGGAACGCCAGGCCCCCTCCCCTGCTCCCAACCAGGGGCTCTGACGTGGGCACATCGCGGGGCCCTGAGCACAGGCGAAGACAGACAGACTCTGGTCCGCGCGTCATCGGCAACCCACCAGGGACACCCAAGTGCCTGCAGACGCCCCCGCGGCTGAGCGAGCCTCCAAGGGGGACTGACTGTGGAAGGCGTCCTGCCCTCCTCACGCGGAGGCCAAGCGGGGTGTTCTGGGCCAAACTGCGTTCCTCCCCCCCCCCAAATTCCTGGGCTGGAGTCTTAACCCCAGGACCTCAGAATGTGACCGTGTTTGGATGCAGGGTCACGTTGCAGCAAGGTCACCAGGTGGGCCCTGGTCCAGTGGCTGGTGTCCTTGTAAATAGGGGACATCTGGACAGACACAAGCCAAGAAGACGGGCCTCCGGAGGAGCCAACCCGCTGGCGCCCTGACCTCTAACCCTGGGAAGCAAATGTCTGTTGCCTACGCTGCCGGAGTGCAGACCAGCAGGCGGGGCCACCGATGCGCCACACTTCACCCCGACCCACAGTTTCCTTCCTGCTCTGGCCTTGGCCTAAAGAGTCCCGTGAGGCCCCGCTGGGAGGACCACGGCCTTCAGGGCCCGTGGAAACCATAATGGGAGCCTGTGTGCTTCTGGCCGTTGGCTTCATTCTTTTTTTTTTTTTAATTTTTTTTTTTTTTTTTAAATTTTTAGGAGAGAGAGAGATAAGCGTGAGCAGGGGAGGGTCAGAGAGAGAGGGAGTCACAGACTCTGAAACAGGCTCCAGGCTCTGAGCTGGCAGTCAGCACAGAGCCCGACGCGGGGCTCGAACACACGAACCGCGAGATCATGACCTGAGCGAAAGTTGGACACTCAACCGACTAAGCCACCCAGGCGCCCCGGCTTCAAACTTTCTTATTTTTACTTCAAAATTATAGAGAAAGGAGAGCAGGCACAAATGGTTCTTAATAGGTTTTAAATGCCTTCAAATGGATTTCTTAAATTCTCATGTTTACGATTTAAATCCGGGTGTTGAAATAGAATTGTTTTGACCATAACTTTGAATATATCCGCTCGTTTAGCTTTGTAATATGAAAAGTAGAAGTTGGGATAGAAATGCGGACGCACCCTAACACAAGTCAAGAAAACTCCGTGGTAATTCTAGCTTCCTTGAGTGCTGGTCTGCATTCCTTCCTGAGTCAGAGGAATGACTCCTACTCTGAATAACGAGCTGGAAGAAACGTAGCATCCACCATCTCAGCACTTAGGAAGCTGCCGCTCAACAGGCCGGGGGCTCAGCCGGTTAAGCACCGACTCCCGCTCAGGTCGTGATCTCCCCGTTCGTGAAGTCGAGCCCCATGTCAGGCGGTCAGTGCGGAGTCGGCTTGGGATTCTCTCTCTCCCTCTCTATGCCCTTCCCCCGCCTTCTTCCTCTGTCTCAATAATAAACAAACATTTAAAAAAGCAGCCAGTCAGTGTCATATTGGCTCCCACCACACACCTTCGGCAGGCTGAGCCGGGCTCACCCGGCACCTGCAGGCCCACTACCCGCCGCAGCCGCGCCCACGCTACACGCTCTCGCCGTGGACACAGGCTCTGAGCAGAGCAGATTCTGAATCCAACGATGCTGCCAACTCGCGTCCCTTCTGCTGCAGACGCGCCCGCCGGAACCGGTGGGTGCCGCCCCACGCTGTCGCTTCCAGAACGGCCTCCCCAGAGCAGGGACGGGAGAAATGGGACCTCAAGCCCAGGACTCCGGACATGCGGGAGCGTCCAGGGAGGCGCCGCAGCCCCACGTCCCGGGCACCCGGTGCTGCAAGGGAGGCCCGTCTCCGCGCCTGAGAAAAATCCCGGAGCAGATTGCACTCTGCCAGGCGGCGTTAGCGGCCCACCTGTTGGGAAGGCTATTCAGTTAAAAATAAAAACACTGGGCTGATAAGTGGGCCCCACGGAGCGGTAGAGCCCGCACGCCGCTGAAGAGTAAAATCAACAACCGAGATGCTCGCCTACGCTCTGGTCGCCAGACTGCGGGGAGCGGGCGCTCCTCTCGTGGGACCGGAGGCGAGCTGCTCTCCGAGGACCGGGGAGCCGCCCTGGGGAATCGCCCAGCCGAGGCCCCATCTGCACCAATGCCATGGCGGCAATTAGGGGGAGAAAGGGAGCGGGTGAGCAGCGGAGGGAAACACACAAACAGGGATCATTTGGTTTTATTGAAGAAAAGCTGAGTGCACACGTGTGCACCCTCGTTACGGCTGGCGCGTCCCCACCTGAATGCACGTGCAGTAGCCTCACCCCCAGCCCAGAACCCGGCCTCGTTAGGACCCGGGGCTTTTAATGAGACAATTAGGGGAAGATGAGGTCTTGGGGGGGTCCTTACAGGAAGCGGATTTGAACACAGACACACGGGGAGTCGGGCGCACGGTGCTGAGGCACAGAGAACCGATGATGCTCCTAAAGGCAAACCCTGAGGCTGCCACGGGCCACGTGGCCATCCTGGAAAGTGCCAGAAGGGAAGCAGCCCTGTGGGCACCGGGTCCTTGGCCAGCAGCCACCAGGCCGTGAGAAGCCGCTGCGCTGCCCGCGGACGCTGCCCACCCTGTCCCCCGCTCACCTGGTGTAGGATGTCGGCGACCGGGGCCGGGCCCACTGGTACGGGTGCTGCGGCACCGACAGGTACTGGTCGCAGAAGGCGCCCTTCCGGATGTGCTGGAAGGGGGGGAACTCCTCGGGCAGGAACTCAGACGTGGGCGGCGTGGTCCCCAGGTCCTCGCCGGCCGGCTCCACCTTGAGCGCCACCGAGGGACAGTGGTCCAGGGTGGTCTTGCGCGCCTTCACGGGGACGCCGTCGCCCAGCTCCAGCGTGCTGTCGGTGCTCAGGGCGTTGATGGCCGCCACGATGGCAGAGCTGGTGTACCGCGTGGTGTCGCCCAGCCAGGTGTCGTCGGTGACGCTGACCCGCGGCGAGCTGCGCGGGGACGGCGTGGGTGAGTGGTGCGGGGAGCAGGAGAGCTGCGGGCCGTTGAGGCCGTACTTCCTCTTGTTGCCGGGGGACGAGGGCCGGGACGTGCGGGCCCCCAGCCAGCTCTCCTCCGTGACGCTCGTGCGGGGCGACGTGGAGGGCGAGTGTCTGGGGGAGCCCAGCAGGCCGCAGGCCCCCAGGCCGCGGGCGAAGCCCTCCTCGGGGTCCGTGGTCTTGGGGGACACGCAGGGCGACTGCCACGGGGACGTCTGCGGGGACGCGTAGGGATACGAAAAGCTGGACTCGTAGGACGAGGCGTCCGAGTTGCAGCTGCGGGAGGACAGGCTGCTGGCCGGGCTCAGGCAGGAGGGGTCCCGGTATGCCTCCAGGCTGGGCAGAGTCAGCGTGGCCGTGGAGGGGGGCCGCTTGGGGCTGGGGGCTACGCCCTCCACCTCCACGTCGTGGAAGAACTGGCTGTTGCCGTGGTGCAGCCCCATGTACGAGGTGATCTCGATGCGGGGGCTCTCCAGGGCGGGGGCCCCGTTGGGCCGGACGTGGCCGGAGGCCAGGAAGTAGCCGGGGGGCCCGCTGTCCGCGGCAGCCCCGTAGCCGGGGGGCTGGGTGCCCGCAGCACCCGGCATGCCCGGGGCCGCGCCCTGCAGGTCGAGGCACGGTGCCGGCAGCGGGGGGTGAGCCGCGCCGGGAGGCAGGGCAGAGCTGATGCTCGGCGGCGCATAGCTGTAGTGCTCTAGGGAGGGGACAGAAAAGAAGAGGGCGTGAGGGGCGTCGTCAGGAAGCACAGCGCGGCTCAGTGAGCCCGTCGGCGCCCACAGCCCCGGGCCTGACCCCTTCTCCCCCCTGCAGCTCAAGGGCACCCCCTGCACCTCACGCCACCCCACGCTTCCACGGACCATCCTCTGCCCACGTGTCCCGCCCTGGAGACTCATCTGCTCCCTCCTCCCTTCTGCTCTTCACGCAAACACTTCCTTCCACAGCCGCCCCCCCCCCCCCAGATTTCAGTCCCCAACCCAACACCGGTGTCACCCTCCCCAGATTATCTCTTTCCCTGAACACTTAACATCACCTCACCCGCCATCTCTTTGATCAGAAGAAACTAAGTTCCGTGACAGCAGGAACCCTTGCCTGCTTTAGTCTAGCTTACTTCACGGCAGGCTTCAGAGCCTATGACTGTACCTGGCACATAAAAGGTCCTCAGTTTGTTAAACAGATGGATGGGTGGGTGGACGGGTGGATGGGCGAATGGGCAGGTGGGTGGGTGGGTGGATGGATGGATGGATGGGTGAATGGGCAGGGGAGTGGGCAGATGGACAGGTAGGTAGGTGGTGAGTAGGTGGGTGGGTGGATGGGAGGGTGGGTGAGAGGAGGGATGGGTAGGTAGGTGGATGGATGGATGGATAAATGGAAAGATAAATGGAATGGATGGGTAGAGGATGGGTGGATGGGTGGGGAGATGGATGGATGGATAGATGGAAAGAAGAGTGGATGGACAGGTGGGTGGATGGGTGGGTTTTAGCTATAGGAACCTGAACATTTAAAGGGATATAATAAGCTAATCAATATCAAGGTGTCCTAATTACTGGTTACAAAGATAACACCTCAAGGATCAGATGAACATTTTCTGAGGTCTCTAACATGTAAATTCTGATGGTAGCTCATGGCCTAGGAAGCAAATGACATTGACACACAACTATATTTAAGAATCATTATATGTTAATTATAACCTCAACAAAATACGTTTTAAAAATCGTTACTAGTGTAATTAGTAATTCTTAACAAGAAAGCCACATTTCTGGATTTCCTATTTGAAAAGACATTTTATAACATCTTGGTACCTCATTATTGTTGGCCTGGAGAGGATATCGCACGGTCTCTAAATAATGGAAACACACACGTGGAAACCCTACACCACCCGTGGTTTCCGAGCTGCTGCTGTGAAGGAACCGGGCTCATCGGCGGTGCTGCCCTTCTGCTGGGCTGGGCCCCAGAAACCCACACGACCGGCCCTGGAAAACCCAGGGTCTCAGAGTGCGGGTTCAAACCCCGTGCTATTTACTCACAGAAATGGGTCTAGTGCCCCAAAAACAGAAGAGTCTACATCTATACTTATTTTTGTCCAGAAGGGGCCATTCAACCACCCGCTCTGGTGATGCCAGCTTTTGCAATCCTCGCCATCAAGTTCTTGCTTTTTTGCTCAGAATGCCGCACCCCCCCCCCACCCGTGAAAACCTGTTTGCTGTTCCCCAAATGGCCTCTCTTCCTCCAGGCCCTTCACAGGTGGCCTGGGGAGAGCCTCCGGGATGCTCAGCGGCGGAGCCACGACGGCCTGAGGGAGGCAGAGCTCTGCCGAGGAAGAGGGCACGGCACTGAGCCCGGGGGGCCAGAAGCTGGAGCCACAGGACGGGGTCCCATCACGTGGGAGCCGGGGCCACACGGCCACCGCCCTGGGACCCTGTCCCGTGCTCCCCATGGCTCACCGGAACAAGGAGCTGCAATCCCCAGTTAGAAACACGACTGCAGTCCTGGAGAGGGACTTCCCGGAGGAGAAGGTCAAGTTCCCGAGGAAGAGGTGGCCTGGCGGTGGTATCCACGGGGGCACGTGTGCCCACCGCACCCCCGGACCTGGCAAACCACAGCACAGGTGTCTGAGTGGGGCGTCGTGGGGGGGGCGGGGCGAGGGAACAAGCCTCCCGTTAGGAAGGCCCGACCCAGACTCGGGACCCACAGCGGGCGCCAGCCCCCAGGCCACTCCAGGACGGAGCCGCGTCTGCCGAGACCCACCTGAGCACAAAAGCGTTTTTCCAGCCAGGCGCCTGCTCGTGTGCTAAGTGCATTTCCACACAAACGTCACTCTGTCTCCGCGCGTCCCCTTACACGTGTTACGCATGTGTGCAAGCACACACGTATACACGCACACACCACACTCACACGCCTGCAGATGTCGGCCGGCGTGACCAGAGCAGGGTCGAAGGGCCGAGTGTGCACAGCGTCAGCCTGTCGTTGCACGGAATCCACAGTTAGTATCAGGTGATCGGTAAGCGCAATACCAGTAAGGAGTGTGAGTCCGCCTTACACACTCCGAGGGCAGGGGTTAGGAACCAGACATCCAGAAACAACGTTCGCATGTTTGACATGTTCCAAATTAAGCATGAGTTAGAGCCGCTGGCGCCCAGCACCCGGCTCACTACCGGCCGCGGAGCCCCTGCCCCGTGGGCTGCCACGCGTGCCGAGGCGGCGGGAACGCGCGTCTCGCCCACAACCACCGGCACCGGCCGCACGCCCCTGGGCGTGGTGCCCTGGGAGGTGCCCTCCCGCCCCGGCCGCAGGGCAGGGCAGTGAGCGCGGGGCTGCGGCCCCCACCCCAGCCCGTGTCTGCGCCCAGCACGCCTGGCCCCGCCAGCCCCGCGCTGCTGTCACACCCGTCCAGACACGCACTTTCCTCGGCCACCGAGAAAGCCACAGAGCCACTCTCCTGTGGTCTCAGCCCCTCCGGCTTGGGGGGGGGCGCAAAACACGCCTGGGGGCCCCCAGAGAGCCCTGAGCCGCAGGCGTGGGGGGCCCGGCCTTCCCTGGCTCGTGCCTCCAGGCAGTGGCTCAGGGCGCGCGGCCCTCCTGCGGGCTCAGGTCCCAGTGCTCTGAGGACCAGCGCCGTCTCGACATTCTGTCCTCACGGTGGCACCGTCCTACCGCCAGGGACACCTCGCCAGACCCTCCCGAGGGACGAGGCCCCCCATGCCCTGGCCCACCCGTGGCTGGGGCGCTCACACCCGCACGGCGTGGGCCCTGCTGTAGAGCCCTCCGACCCGTGGAGCACGTGACGGCCGGCGTTCGGTGAACTGTTCTCGTGTTAAAGGGAATCACCAGCTCCAGCAGACAGGGGACCGGGCGTGAGGCCGAGGGGGAGGTTAGACGTCATAAATGCAAGTGTGTATCACGAGGCCACCCACCGGGTCGCTGCCGAGGGACGTGGTGTCCCTTGTGATGGGCCCCTCGCCAGCTCCTGGCTTGTCCGGACCTCGAAGGACGTTTAATGAACCGACCCCTGCATATCCTGCCCAGTTAGAACAGTGTTACGCGTGGGGCGCCCGCGTGTCGCAGTCGGGTGAGCATCCGACTCTGGACTTCGGCTCAGGTCAGGGTCCCAGGGTCATGAGATAGAGCCCTGTGTCGGGCTCTGCGCCGAGCATGGAGCCTGCTTGGGATTCTTTCTCCTCTCTGCCCTCTCCTCGTTCTCACTCTCTCTCAAAATAAAATTAAAAAAAAAAGTCAAATAGTATTACGTGTATCTACGATTGATTTCAAGAGTTGGGGCGCCTGGCTGGCTCAGTGAGTGGAGTGAGTAACCCTTCATCTCACGGTCGGGAGCTTGAGCCTCTTGCTGGGGGCAGAGACTACTTAAAAGAAATTAAAATTAAACGTAAAAAAGAGAGAAAGTGAGCCCACAGCTGAACTAACATTTGCTGACAAGAAGGTAGCCCGAAGAATTAAAAAGCAAACCCCAGCCCCCTGCCTAGCGGGTCTGGGGCCCCCCAGGGCATTGCTCCTGGTGCCTGGGGCCCGAGGCTCCGACCGCACAGGGCAGGGGAGGCATGCGGGGGGCACTGGCGGGATCTGGGTGAACCGGCCAGCGTGGGGGGCCAGCTCTGACCCATGTGTGCAGGAGCCCGGTCTTCTGGAAGGGTCTAGAAGAGACCAGGTGGAGCAGAGAATGGCCTGGGCTCCCGGAGCCGTAGGAGGGGCCTTCGTGGAAACCAAACTCTGCCAATAAACATGATTCAGTGAGAAGAGAGAAACCATAAAGCCTCGTTAAAACTCACCTAAAGCACGACTTCCCTCAATTAAACAAATCACAGACGGGAAGCCACACGCCTGGCCTTCGGGACAGACCCACAGCCGCGGAGCCGGGCGGCTGGGTAAGGCCGGTCTCTGTGCTGGGGCAGAACACATCCAGCGGGAGATGGCCGCCTGCCCCGCACGCGCCTGGGGCACCGCTCCGCCGCCTCCTCTCGCCCAGGACCCACCTGGACAGTGTTCAAGTCTGCGACTTAGCTCTTCAGTGAGAATATTTTCAGGAACTTTCTCAACAGTCCTGAGGCGTTCAGGCCGATTCGTGCCCCGTCAGGAGCCCTCAGGCCCCTTTCTGCCGCTGCCCCTGGAGTCGCCGGTCGCCAGGGGCCCGGGGCGTCCAGCAAGTGCCAGAGCAGCCGGGCGCGGAGGAGAGCGAGCCTCGGGGGCCTCCTTCAGGACGCCCTACACGGAGTGGCCGGGGTGGGGCCCGGGCTCCGCAGACGCCCTGCCCTGCCCCCATCTCGTCCACGCTGGAGGCCCAGCCCCACGCAGGTGCGTGTCCCCAGGAGGGACGTCTGGGTGGCACAGGGGCCACTCCCAGGCTTCTCCAGTGCTCAGGCTTGTCCCAAGGACTTCCTCCCGTGCTGAGAAAGAATTTATTTCTGAACCACCTCCAAAAAAAGTATATCCATGTCCTTTCTATTGAAGCCAACAGCCTCCGGGCACCGTCCGTCTGGCCCTGCGGGCCCGTCCCCCGCCCCCCCCCCCCCCCCCCCCCCCCCCCC